TCTAAACTTCCACTTCTGGATAGGATGTAGTAGATCATGGCAGCCCAAAACCCTGCCTGCAACAACCAGAAAAATATGGATAAATTACAAAAGTTGTATGTTTAAAGACATGTTAGTAAAATACAACATGAAAGCAACAAGGACTAGGTGATAGGAATTCCGGAGAGGGAGATGCTCTCTTGAGGTGAGTGGCCATTTTGTTCGCTGGGGGCATTTACTGGTTCTGGACACAGACCAAGGATCAGGCTTGGTCCATGCAGAGGGTCTCTACTGAGGGAAAGAGAAACCCAGCAAAGCTTTTGATGGTCATGGGGGGCTGGTGCAACAGATTGGAAAATTGACAAGCTTGACCAGTTCCTGCCACATGTTGCAAGTTGAGATCCTCAGGAAACAGATACTGAATCTGAGGTTTGCATTTGGAGGTTTACTGGGGAGTTGTCCCAACAACACCTGTGAGGGAGCAAGAGAACTAGGATATGGCAGAAGAAGTTGAATGGTGACACATATAGTTGCAAGAGTGGCCTCAGCCAATCTTGAAGGGAGCTCTGAAGCTGGGATGGCCATTTAGAGATGTCCCCATTTGAGGCAAGGGTGTTGCCCTTTGGACAAGAATCAACCAGTCCTTGGATGCAGGCTATCCCTGGGGATGAGGGCATACCCTTGGATGAAACATCTTCCTTCAGTCAAATGCAGTTCCCAGGGAGGGATGCAGCTGTGAGCTTCCAGATGATAACACAGCTGGGGGAATGTGTGTTTCAGACGTGAAAAGGGATCTGGGTGGTGCAACTGCTGCATCCACTATACTAAATGATACTTGCTGAGCTCTGGGGCTATGTATGAGAGGCTGGCGAGTTAGAACGAAAACTTTTAAAAGACAGGGAAATCTCCCTTAATCTCATAGTGCTTAGGAAACAAAGTCCTGCTGGAAGAAGAGGTTCCAATCTTCACCAACACTTACTGTCTTTTTTATTATAGACATTCTAAGTGTGAAGTGGTATCACACTGTGGTTTTAATTTTCACATGGCTAATGACTAATGATGTTAAGCATCTTTTTGTGTGCTTGTTAGCTATTTGCGTATCTTTTTTAGTAATATGTTGGTTCAAATATTTTGCCCATTTTTTTCAACTGAGTTGTTTGTTGTCTTCTTATTGACTTGTAAAAGTTCTTTATATATTCTGGATCCAATGCTTTTATCAGATATATAATTTTCAAATATTTTCTCACAGTCTGTTCCAGTATGTTGCTTGTCATTTTTTTTCCCTTAATGGTGTATTCTGAAGTGTAAGAGTTTTAAAATTTGACGGAGTACAATTTATCAGTTCTTTTAAGAATCATGCTTTTAAATTGTATCTAAGAACTCTCTTCCATAAGTGACAAAAGTTATTTTGCTATATTTTCTTCTAGAAAATTTATAGTTTTAGCTCTAACATTTAAGTCGGTAATCCATTTTGAGTTAATTTTTGTGTATGGTGTGAAGTAAATGTCTAAATTCACTTTTTTTTGCATGTGGATATCCAGTTGTCCCAGCATCATTTATTCAAAGACTATCCTTACCCCCATTGAATTATTTTGGTAGATTTGTTGAAAAATCAATTTACCGTAAATGTAAAGACTTATTTGTGAATTCTCAATTCTGTCCATTGATCTACATAATCACAGAGTCTTGATCATTGTAACTTTATGGTCAGTTTTGAAATTTGGTGGTATATTTTATTCTTCTTTTTCAAAAATTTTGCCTATTCTAGGTCCTTTGAATTTCCATATAAATTTTAGGATCAGCCTGTCAATTTCTACAAAAAGAGCCTGCAAGGATTTTGAAAGGTATAGTGTTGATTTTATAGATAATTTGGAGAGAACTGTAGCCTTGACAATACTGAGGCTTCAAATTCATGAACATGGAACCTCTTCATTTATACAGGTCTTTAATTTCTATTAGCAGTAGTGTTCAGTGTACAAGACTTGCACTTCTTATATTTCTGGAAGTATTTTTTCTTTTTGATGCTATTGTGAATGGAATTTTCTTAATTTTATTCCTAGATTGTTTGCTGCTAGTATACAGAAATACAATTGATTTTTGTATATTGACCTTGCATCCTATTACCTTTCTAAACTCATTTATTACGAGGGAGAGAGGCAGAGAGAGAGACAGAAAGAGGGGAATGCTATTGTAGTCTTTGGCGTTTTCTACATACAGGATTATGTCATCTGTGAATAAAGGCAATTTTACTCTTCCTTTCCAATCTAGATGCCTTTAATTTCTTTTTATTTCTTTAACTGGCTAGACCTTCCATGTTGACCAAAAGTGGTGAAAATAACATCCTTGCCTTGTTCCAGATTTTAGGGAGAAAGTATTCATTTTTTCCCCATTAAGTATGATGTTAGCTGTTGGTTCATCAGGTTGAGGATGTTCTCTTCTGTTCTTACTCTGTTGAAAGTTTTATCATCTATAGGTGCTGGATATCTTTCAAATGCTTTTTCCACTCCATTGACATGGTCTTGTGGTTTTTGTCCTTCATTCTATTAATATCATGTACTCCATTGATTAATTTTCAAATGTTAAAACAACTTCATATTCCTGGGATAAATCCCACTTATTCAATTTTGTGTGATTCTTTTATGTTGATGGATTTGGTTTGCTAATATTTTGCTTAGGATTTTGCATCTATATTCATGAAGGATATTCGTCTGTAGTTTCTTTCCTTGTGTTGTCTTTACTGATTTTGATATTAGGGTAATACCAGTATCATAGAATGATTTGGGAAGTGTTCCTTCCTCTATGTTCTGAAAGAGTTTGTGAAGCATTGGTATTATTTCTACTGTGAATTTTTGATAAAATTCACAGATGAAGGCATCTGGGCCTTCGCTTTTCTTGGTAGGAAGATTTATAATTACTAATTCAATTTCTTGTCTGTTGACTTCTGCTCTAATCTTTGCTTGCTTTGGATTTTGTTTGCTTTCCTTTTTCTTGTTTGTTAACAAGTGCATGTTATTGCTTTTAGATCTTTCTTTCTTTTTTCCCTGATATAGGCATTTAAAGCTATAAAATTTCCCTTTAAGCACTGCTTTAGCTACAACTCATTGATTTTTTTCATTCAAGTCAAGATATATAATTTACCTTGTGATTTCTTCTTTGAACCATGAGTTATTTAGAAATGTATTGTTTAATTTCCAAATAGTTGGATATTTCATATCTTTTTTCCTGTTGTTGATTTCTAATGTAATTATTAACTATCCAGGAAGACATCTTGGAGCCAACTGCATTTGAACTCTAGATGACTGATGTCTCCAAGCAGAAAGCAGAAAATTTATCAGATTTAATTGACAAAAGGCAGGGAAGCAGAGAGAAAGATTTTCCAGGTGGAAACCAAGCATGTAGAGGGCACAGGCCTGAAAGTCATGGGTTTATTAGTGCCAGCAAGATGTTCAGTGTGGTTGGAACAAAGGAAATGTAATTTGTATCTTCTTTGTTTTCTCTTGGTTCAGTTTACCTAAAGTTTGTTGATCTAGTTGATCTTTTCAAAGAACTTGTTTTTGTTTCATGGATTTTTCTCTACTATTTTTCTTTTCTAATACATTGAGTATAAGGGAAGTGTAGTTGGGGTACAGAAGAAGTTGTGGGACAGCATGTAGAAAAGATAGTGTAAAAGGTTCCCTGGTGTTCAGATTCCAGCTTCACTCTTCAAATCCTCTTCTGAAGAGTTTTTCATTCTCTGTGAGCCCAGGACTTATAAGTACAGGAATGCTTTCTCGGGATATTCTTGGAAGGAAGGAAGGAAGCAGATGTTGGAAGAATAAGACCTGGGCAAGGGGTGACTGGTGTCTCTGCTGATTACTCTCCTAGGTGCCCAAAAGTCCACCTGGCCTGGTTCTGAGAGGTGGCCATATAGGATCTATTCATTTTGGGCAGCGGGGATCCTGAGGCTGAGCTGGCAGCAGGGGTGGACAGCAGTAGGTCCATAAGCATGGTGTATTGTTTCCTGTGTTATACAATGAAACTAGAGGTTGGAAGCTGCCATCCCAATAGGTCGTAGCAATTTAGCAGAGTCTTGGATTGCAGAGCCTGCAGGCTTGTCTCCCCCACCCCATCCCCTGGTGTGGGCTCTGCTGGACACAAGGGAGGTGAAGACTATAGCTAAACTCGATCTAAGAAACACCTAGGACAGACTGACACCATTCTAGAAGAAAGCTGCTCTGGTTTGCTGAATTACTTCAGACAGTGAAGGGTGGAAGACAGAGAGGGTTCCAAGAGCCAGGAAAATGAAATCAAGCCTTTCCTACAACTCCCCATGCTGTTCTTCTCATTGCCTCTCTTCCTCCTCACTTCTTGGCTTGCTGACCCTCCCCACCCACATTTCTCTGGTTTTCCTTTTAGTAATAACCAAAAAAGAATGCCTGATACTCAACAACCCACAGGGCAGTGACCATTTTGACTAGCTAGTGAGCTGCTTCCAGCCACTCAGCCCCCACACCCATCTGAGTCTTCAAGGGTGTGTATTCCTCCACTGGGATTGAAGGCCCTGATGGGTGGGCCACACTTTCTGGCCAGTGACTACCCTCATATTCCTCATTTTCCCATGACCCCTACCCATCCTTCACTCTTGAGACTCAGTGCAAACACTGCTCCCCCTGAGGCCTTCTCTTTTGTCTTCATGGGAAGTACCCTCTCCCTTCTTGGAGCACCCTTGACCTTTATCTGCACTTCTTTCATGAACTTACCACTTTCTCCCTGTGGTAAAATGAATTGTGTCCACATCTCATCTCCTCCACTAAACCCTGAGCTCTGTGAAGGCAGAATTCTAGGCAAGATTCTAGATTCCCCGCAAGGTCTAGCCAATAGTTGGCAATCAACAGATGAAGAGATCTTGGGAAGGAAGTCAGAGGAGGGCTATAGAAAAGCGAACTCTCAGGGCCTTTGGGGACAACGCTCTCATTCACTGTATGCCTGGGCATCTCCACTCACACCAGAAAGTTCAAAGGAAAAACACAGTGACAAGGATGGCCATTTTGGAACCCATTTATATTGTCAGTATTACTCTGGGCTTCATCCAGCTCCACACCAGCCTCTGAGACTGTGTCAGATCGTCTGAACATTCATGGCTTCCTTGGGCCAAGTGTAGCTGTCCAGCGTAAAGGAGTCATAGTCTGGAGTGTAGACCAGGGATCTTACAAAAGCCTCCTTGTCCTTGGGCTCCGGGTAGTAGGAGGCCAGGTTGTGTTTGTACGCGAAGTCAAGGACCTAGGGAAAAACATGTTTGGCTGAGGAACTGGATTTAAGGAGGAAGCTGCCTAAAGGCCCTTGCTTGGGAGCCTGTAGAAGGGGAATATATCCCAAAGAACTAGATGTGTTCCTCTCATGAGTTGTGGCCCATGGAGCCACTGGATAGGAAGGATTTTGAGCTTCCTGCCTAGATAGGAAGCTGTGAAACAGTGGAATAAACACTGGGCAAGGGTCAGGAGGCCTCAGACTAGAGTCTACCTCTGCTTCTAACTGCCTCTGAGTGCTCAGCAGTGACATTATCCTTGTTGAGCCTCAGTTTCTTCATCTGTAAAGTGGGGGTAATGAGACCTCTCTCTGGAGTGATGTGAGGATAAAATTAAGTAGCAGGCAAAAGTGCTCAATACTTGCTATTTTTCTCCCCTCTAAATGTGGGCTGAATGGAAAAACAGCCTGGACATTGTTCTCTGGGTATTAGATTTGGCTTCAGAAGAGCATGAATCTAAATATCCCACAAAGGAAGGAACTGGACAGGGTGGAGCTGGACTATGAGCTGGACTGTTGGTCTCAAGGGCTGATTCTGAATCCTGCCCTGTACAACTCATGGGGAGTGCGTGCTGTTGTGCAATGCATTTTCTGAAATTATTTTAAAAACTTATTATAGAAAATGTAAAGCACATATACTAATAGAAATAACAGTATAATAAACCTTCATGTGTTCATCATCTAGATTCAACAATTATCAATGTTGGGCCAGTCTTCATTGCACCACGTTCTGATTCTTTGAAAACACATCATCTCTGCATTGTCTCTAGGGTGACATTTTCACTGGGAATATTCCATGAATCTGATCACTCCATGGCCCAGCCATTATGAAAGAGAAGGAAGGAATGAACATCTTATTCTGGCCAGAAAGGCACTGAGTGTGGAGCTTTCACACTGTTGCCTTTTGATCTTCTCCAGAGCTCCGGGAGAGAGGAATTACTGGTCTCTTTGGAAAAGGAGGAAACTGAAGTTCAGGGATGTGAAGTGACTGGCTCCGGGTGATTCTGCTGCTGACTGGCAGACCCGGGACCTCAGAGCCTGAGCTCTTTCCATGATGCTATGCAAGCTGACCTTTCTGCATAAATGGGCACTTATGATTCAGTTTTTAAAAATTCCACCCACATTCTGGACCACAAAACTATGGACTTTGGTGACCTTTCTGCCTGATGTTTTAGGGGAAATCCAGGAGTTTTCCCAGAACTGGCCTGAGTGGGCATTGTCACCCAGCCTCTGGGTTGCATGTAGTGCAGCCCATGGAGCTAAGGATGTCTCCATAGCTGCCATTCCCTAGCCCTCCTAAAGTCACAGAGAGAGAAGGTCGATGAGCCTCACTACCCACATTTCAGGGGGTAGCATGCCCCTTACTTTGATGGCGATTCTCAAAGACACATCTCGGATGGTGCTGAGTGGTGGGTACAGTCTCCCCTGGGACAGATGCTGCTCAGAGACCTCCTGGGCAATTTGCTGGGAAGAGAGAGAGAGAACCGAGAGACTAAGCTGAGTTTCTGCCTTCCCAGAACAAGCCCAACCAATTACCCCAGAGTCTCACCTCAACCCTCGTAGGTGGCCACTCAGTGTGGTTCCCACTGTTGTCTCTGCCACCATGTGGCCCCAGAGGAGCTTAATGCTTGGGTTTAAGCAAAGACACATTCTTTCTGTACTGTGAGACTGACTGGGTGAGGCTTAAAACAACATGAGGCTCTCTGAATCCTAAAGGAAAATAATTAAGACCAAGATAAATAAACTCATGGCTTGCAAAGCAGACTCTGGGATCTGCCTTGGCTGGTCTAGCCTGTTGCATAAGAATCCCTGAGTTCCTCACTTCCTGAGTTCCAGGCTCTCCCACATGCTTACTAACATCCTGGGTGCCATCTTATCTTTCTGTATTCAGGGCTCCTGGAGCTCTCCCTTCTAGTCCTGGTCCCATCTGAGGACAGGCTTCTCCTCCAGGGAGTGACATCACAAAAGGGCTTATGGCTTATCCGAATAAATGCCCTAAGCACATCATCCTGGGAACAGCACCTCCCACAGCTCCCCTCCCTGGTTCAGAGCCTGTCTCTGAGGGCCAGCTCTCTCCTGCAAGCCTCATCTTCCAGCTTCAGGCACTGGTGCTCAGCCAGCCTTGCAGAACAGCCTCTTTAATGTGGTGCCTCTGAATCTACTCCCACTCAATCTTCTTGTGTCAAATTTAAATTTGGGAAAAGTCACTGGTGCTCTCTGAGAACTGTGTGTCTGAGGGTGGACAAGGCAAAGGAGTTGGTCTCGCCTCAGAGTTTGGCAGACATCAGGGAAGGGGCTTCCCTCTCCACTGCCTCATTCTCATGCTCCCATCTCTCTTTTGCATTCAGTCAGTCAGCATTCACTGAACTCCATGACATGCTAGGCTCTGTGCTGGGTGCTGAGGATCCCTGGTGGAGAAGCCATAGTCTTTTCCATCCTGGAGACTGGTGTCAGGGGACAATTAAACTATTACAAGTCCAATATAGTGAAGTGAGTGCAAGGAGATGGGACATATAGACATAGAGGAGGCAGGGCCCAGTCTGCTGTGTACAGGAAAGGCTTCCCAGAAGAAGTGACATAAGCTAGTACCCGAAGGACAAAGTAGGAGTTACTTGAAAAGGGGAGAAGGAATAGCACACTCAAATTCTCAGAGGTAAGAGAGCAAGAGAGTGCGAGATTGAAAAAGAACACTGGCTAGGCTGATGGTAGAGGGAGGCTAACAGTGAGGCTAGAGTAGAAAGGAGGGCTCAGTGATGAAGTGCCTTGTAGGGAAACTGAGTGAAGGAGTTTGGACTTTGTCCTGTAAGCACCGGGGAGCCACACAAAGGCCTGAAATTAGGAAAGAGACTTGGCCTGCTCCATGTTTCTAAGGATTCTCTTTGTGGAGGTCTAGAAGATGGACTGCTTAGAGGAAGCAGGATTTCCATGGCTAGATCTGCAACTAGAAAGGTTATGGTGAAGAGTGAAGAGATATATCGTGGTATGTGTGGTCAATTCTAAGATAGTGGGTGCTGGTAATGCTCGGTTGCAGGTTGGAGTCTCATTGCTTGGGGCCATCTTGGTGCTGTCACACAAGCCCAGTGAGCTTGAGCAAATTACTTAAACTCTCTCTGCCTCACTTTCCATGTCTATAACCTAGGGATAATCACTATACCTATTTTATAGAGTTGTCAAGGTGAAATGAGATAGTGCGTGTAAATCTCCTAAAACCTATATTATTTTTTTCCATAGGAAAATCAGATTCAACTTAAATTGTCTTAACTAAAAGCACGCTTTTCAGAAACGTAACTTGTCAGGTCTTTGAAGACCTAGAGGGGAGGGGCCTTGTCCTGCTCACAGCAGGTGATTAATAAGTAGACTGAGGAGAGGTTCCTGTGTAATTATGGACAGTGTTCACAAAATGATAGAGCTGAACTGTCCCACTGCATTGCAGGGTGGGTGCGGATTTCTCTAGGGGTTACACAGGGAGACTCCAGCACTGGCCGACTCTAAGCAGGAAGTGACTCTTCCCATCCAATGGGGTTTTCAACAGCTCTGCCAATGGCCACAAGACAAGGCTACCACCCATCATAGCAATGAGAAGAAATACAAACACGGAACACTCAAACAAGAAGGACAGAGAACCATGGCACAAAGCTACAGCTAGTACGCCCATGGCTTGGGGGAGACTGAAAAACCTCCAGGAGACATTAATGTATGGACTTTTGAAGCTGTGCTCAGACCAAGAAGTGGTAAGAAGGAACATGGTGCATGAGGCAGGTCCTTGTGGGACACACAGAAGCGGGGCTGGATAGGGCTGCATGGAAGCCATTGCCGTGTCTTGCTGGTTCGGGCCTCCCACCAGTGCCACGGTGAGGGTGAAATGCAGATGGATGTCAGAAATCACAGAAGAGGCTTTGGAGCTCACTGGGGATAAATATATTTAATATCAAAGTATACGGCTTTGATTAGCTTAACCTACCGACAGAAACATTTCTATGCCTCAGTTTCCTCAGAGTGGGGGTATATGTGAAGTGCCTGGCATTCAGTCAGCACTTGATAAATGTCAGCCACCATAACTGTTATTATTAGTAGCCAATATTATGAATGTAGCCTGTCATTCTTACTGAATTCTTTCATTGTTTTCATTGTGTCCAGTAGAGAGCCCTTCCGGGAGCTTTTCCAGTGAGGTACCTGGAGCAGGTGCATCCCCACAGCCCCACTGTGCTCAAGATCCAGGTGTTCAGAGCAGGCAAACGAGACACCCAACCCACCTCCTTCCTTACAGAAAGCTGCCCTAGTGGGGCTTATTCTGCTACCAGTTACCCTGGTGACGTGGCCAAGACCCATGGCTGGAAGAATCCATTGCCTGTCATGGTCCACAAGCCCACAGTTTCAGGTGGCTTTGGTGGCATCTCCCTTGTTCTAGGCATCTAGATGGGCACTGCTGGGAGGCAGGGAGCAGTACGAGGTATGTCCCCTCACTGCCAACACCCCCTCGCATTGACTATTCCCTATCCCCCCTTAAACACCATATGTGTTTTGAGAAAAGTTCAAGCCTCAAGGTGATCCTGACAGAAGCTTGAGGTTCAAGCATTTTGGGGATCCACTGCTAGGGTTGGGGGCAGGTGGATATAAAAGACAAGGGGAGGAATTTTTGGAGGCCCAGCGTAGGACCTGCTGTAGATCACAGGCCCTATTGGGAGCACGCAAGGGAGCAGGGACAGTGATACCTCTGCTGTCAGGAGGAAGATCTCGTCTGGAATGTGCCGGATCCCGCCAGCGATGACCCCCAGAGCCACTCCAGGGAACACATAGGCGTTGTTTCCCTGCCCGGGAATGAAGGTCCTGCCATCTTCCAGAGTCACGCTCTTAAAAGGACTTCCACTGGCAAAGATCCCTCGGCCCTGGAGGCAGGAAGGAAACCAGAGATGGAGCTTGGAGATTGGTTTGGGGCAGCAAGGCTGGCCTAGTCTTATCTCCCAAATGTTGGACCCTTCTTCATCCTCTCCCAGATGCTCAGCATTGTACTGAGCGCACTGCACTTGTTCATTTGACCAGAAAGCTTAGCCCCACTGAGTTACCAGGCAGTCAAGAAACCACTGAAAGGTGAAGCTGTGTCTTTTTTAGCTGCCACGTCTTGAGAGGGCCAAACCAGGACATGACAGGTCTGCAAGTGGCCTAGAGTCTGCAAGTGTCTTGGGTTCTGGTCCAAGCTCTATGTTATTAAGGAACTTTGAGCAGTATAGTGCAATGGCAAAAGCTTAGGCTTTGGCCCCAGACCTAGGTTTGAGGGCCAGCTCCACTCCTCATTAGCTACGTGACCTTAGCCAATTACTCCGTCTTTCTGAGCCTCAGTTTGCTCGTCAGTGATGTAGGGATTTTTTTCACCCTCATAGGGTTACTCATAGTTATTGTTACTATGTCCGCTCAGCCTGGGGAAGGAATGACTCCCCGCTGACCTCAGTGACCCGGTAGCACTTCTCAGCCGTGCACTCAGCCTTGCTGGTGGGGTTGCTCAGGGCAAAGATGATAGGGCGCTCGTGGAAGGAGGCCATGTCCCTCAGAATCTGCTCCGTGAAGGCTCCTGCGATGGCGGCAACACCTACAGGGAAAAGGGGGGTAGTGGGGATGCCTACTCTTTATAAACAACCCATTCCTCTTCTGGAGGTGATGGTGGTGGGGAACTAGGTGCAACATGAAAGATTCAGGAGTCATGGGGATGGCGTCTGACATAGGGGTGGAGGGAGCAGAAGAGAAAAGGGTCTTCCTGCTTGAGTTGGCTGAGACTTCCTCTTAATCCCTAAGGGAGCACTGGTCCACATCAGGTCCCTACCCAGTTAAGATGAACCTGTGAAGGCATTCCTGGGCATTGTCCTTTCAAGTGGGCTGCTCCTCCAGTACAGGGAGAGATGCCAGGGTTCCCACCTTTGGGGAGGCGTGCTCATTTCATCTTGGTTAGAGACCAGCGCTGAGCTTTGCCACTGCACTGTATAATTTTGCATCACTAAGCCCCAACGTGGTGCCTTCATTCTGTGGTTTTTATATAGTAGTCACTCAATAAGAGTTTGTGGCATTGAATTGGATATGGGATAGGGGAAAGAGCTGTGTTTCCATGGGTTACTCATGCCTCCTTGCTGAGCCTATCTCCACCTGCAAGTCAAGAGGGTTAGCTGGGCTGGGCAGTGGGCCATCTCTCTCCTCCTACCTATGATGGCTGTGGGCTTCACCAGCCTCACCACCTCCTCCAGGGAGTTTACTTCAGGATGCTCCTGGGCAAACATCTCCTTCTCATGGTTCAGGTGGGTCCTCCCCTGCAGGGAAAGGAAGAACATCATCATCTCTGATGACTCCTTTGGGTCAGCTGGCTTCATGAGAACCAGAGTGAAACGTTAGCTTTGAGAGATCTTTGAGTAGGGATGAGTTCAAAGGGATGAGCCAAATGATGTTGAAAGGTGGGCAACTGAGAAGTGTGGCAGCCTCTGGCAGCCTCTACCTGTGGCTGGATTATGCTCTGGAATGGCCTGGGGTGGAAGGAGGAATCTCCAGGACCCAGTTCCTTCCAGTGGTAATCTGGCTGTACATGGAACAATAGGAAGGTCGGATTCTACTGAGGGGTCTCTGCTATTCTTGGTCAATGGCCCCACATACTTCCCCCATTCCTACCTCTGTCATCTTTTTCATCTCTCACTGACATTCTATGTTAGTGGAATTTGAGGAATTAAAACATGGAGCTCTGAGTGAAGTCCTAAGGGAAGAGGTCATCTGATTGTGCCCCTCACCACATTCTGGTCAGAAGGTGGACTGTTTCTCTCTCGTTCATTCTTTCACTCACACCTCAAACATTAATTATGTTTGTAATTAACATAAGTACCATGTGCCAAGCATTGACATCAAGACTATAGCCCACTGGGAAGATGGAAAAGTAAAGGGGCAATTGCCCTACAATGTGGTAAGTGTGATGTAATGTACGTGGGGGGGTGGTGCGCTATGTGAGCACGGATGCAAGGAATTAATTGAGACCTAGATGCCCAGAGAAAGGTTCTTGGACAAGGTAACATTTGAGCTCAATCAGAAGATGAGGAAATGGATGGGTTTGAGTGGGCGTGTGAAAAAGAGAAGGGCATTTCAGGTAGAGGAACAAGATATGCAAAGATGTGGAATAGAGCATGTTACTTTTGGACAGCCACAACCCATATGGCTGGAGGTTAGTGCAAGGCAGGCAGTGGTGGGTGATAAGGCTGGAAGGGGCACACAGCCACACACTTGCAGGCATAGTCAAAGCTTCTGGACAAGAGCAGTTAAGGCTACTTTGGGATGAGTCTTTTGCTTTGGAGGTCAGGACATTGCCCTCCTTTTACTCTCTATTCTGTCTGAGCAGTTTGCCCCTTGGAGACCTCTTGTAGTCCAGTTCCAATAGTTGTGGGTGTCAGGAAACCTCCAGGTCTCCAGATTGACAGTACCTTGACGATGAGGCCCTTGGAGTCCACCATCCAGATCTTCCTCGTGGCCTCTGCCTTGGATACGCCTTGTTTCTCCAGGGCCATGACAAGGAGGTGGGCGATGCCCATGGCTGCCTGGGAGGTAGCATACAATGGATGTTTAGGCATAGGGCAAATATCTGCTCAGCATTTATAAGATACTTTACCAAGATCTTTTCTTCTCTCTATCACCCCCCTACCCGCACTCCCAGGAGGCCCAGTTAAGTCTTTGCCTTGAGACACCCAGATGTTGGGGCCCAGGCAGCTGAAATTATCACAATGCACTTGTATTTCTTCCTCTTCTCAGAACCCTAAGAACACCTCCCCTCCTTGATGGCCCTCTACTTATTCTTATTTGCCTACTGGAACAACAGTAGAGAGCCCCTGATGGCACCTACCTCACCTGCACCTTGGAAAACAAACACATGATTGGAGAGCTTGTTCTTGGTGATTCGCAGAGCAGCCAGGATCCCTGCCACAGCAACGGAGGCTGTGCCTGCAACAGAGTGGACTGAGATCAGCCTCTGGCACTGGCTCCTAGCCCCCAAGAGAAGACCCTTGGCAGAGTTCCCGACACCTAGAAACTGTGGCGGAACAAGGAATTTTCCTTAGCCCTTAGAGAGGTCAAGCCTATAGGCATGCAGGTTGTGAAGCAAACGCATGCACTCTTCTGCAGGTAACTGTTATTTTGAAAAACAGCTCCTGGATTGTTGCTCGACCCTGGAAGAGAGGATCAGAGAGTCAGGTGCTGCTACCACCATGATTCATAAATGAAATAACAAGGACACATATAATGGAATCCAAAAAGAAGTATGAGCCTCATAGAATGATTTGTTTAAGGGATAAATGGATAAAAAACATATAAAAATGAAGCCACCAACTAACCAGGAGACGTTAAATGATCATGTGATCTGAGCTGGCTGTCTTATCCATCAAGTTATAAGATTGGATGTTCCCAGTAGCAAACCGTCATCAAATGGCTTGAGCATGTCCAGAACGTACAAGTAAGTTGCATGAACAGGTGGCTCAGATTTGTTTGACATTCGTCCACTGCATGACTTCCTCTCCCTCAATTCGTACCTAAAGCCTCACTTGGAATTCTTTATGACAAGCTGAGCAAGGGGAAAATAACTTGGGCTTGGTTTACAGCTTATTCTTAATGATATGCTGGCACCAACTAGAAGTGTATGGTTGCAGCTTCATAGCCCCAAATGAAAGGTAGCCCTAATGGGTAACAGTGAGGGAAATCTTCTCAATGGACATGACCTCAAAGTTTCCACTTTGGTCCTAGAGATGGCTAGATCTACACTGATTCATGGGCAGTTGCTAATGCTAATGGCTGGATGGTTAGGGAATTAGAAAGACCAAAATAGTAAGATTGGTGATGAGAAAGTCTGGGGAAGGGGTATATAGATGGACTCCTTGGAATAGGTACAGAGTGAAGATATTTGTGCCCCATATGAAAGCTCACTAAAGGGCATAAGGAGAACAGGTTCTCAAGGATCAGGTGGACACAATGGCATGTCCTGTGTATGTCAGTAAGCATCTTTCCCGAGCCCCACCCAGGGTTTGGTCAATGGGTTTATATACAAAGTAGCCATAGTGGCAGGGATGGAGGCTATGCATGGACTTCGTCTCATCAAGGCTGATCTGCTACTACCACTGCTCAATGACTAACCTGTCAACAGCAGAGACCAGTGTTGAGCTACTGATACAACACCATCTCTGGGAGGACTATCTGCCTGGCAGCAGGATGATTACATTGGACTCCTTCCATTATAGACAAGAAAGAGACCTGTCCTCACTGGAGGGAACACATGGTCTGGATATGGATTTTCTTTCCCTGTCTCTAATGCTCTGCCAGCGCCGCCATCTGTCGATGTTTGGAATGCCTATTCACCATCCTGATATATTCCAGACAACAAGGCTTCTAACCAAGGAATTAATTTCACAGTAATAGAAGTGCAGCAATAGGCTCATGCCCCTGGAATTGACTGGTCTTAACAGGTACTCCACCACCCAGGAGGAGCTGGCCTAACAGATCAGTAGAATGGCCTACTGAAGACTTACTGAAGACTTAGTTGAGGTAACACCCTGCAGAGATGGTGAGGTTCTATCCTACAGGATGCAATATATGATTTGACTTAGCAAATAATACACTGTATTCTTTCTCTGAAGACCAGAATACATGGGTCTGGAAATCAGGGGTTGAAGTGAGAGTGGCTCCTCTCACCGCTTCACCTAATAACTCACTTGCAGAATTTTTGCTTCCTGTGTGTTCAACTTTGTGCTCTCTGGACTGGAGGTCTTGGTCCCCAAGAGACAAATGCTTCCCTTAGAGTTCACAACACGGTTCTATTGAATTGGGAGTTAAGATGGCCACCTGTGTATTTGGTGCTCTTTATGCCACAAAACCAGGGGGCAAAGAAGACAGTTATTTTATTGGCTGTGTCTATTCATCCTGATGACCATGGGGGAGCTGGAGGCAGGGAGGACTGTACCTGAGCCCAGGGGACCCTCTGAGGTCTGTCTTAGTACTTCCATGTTCACTGGTAAACAGGAGGAACTACTACTGCAATAAAGAGAGGCAGGACTACTGAGGATTCAGATCCTTCAGAAATAAAGGTTTGGGTCATCCTACCAGGTAAAGAACCCCGGCCAGCTGAGGTCCTGTCTGAGGACAAGAAAACACGGAATGGGAGGTTGAGGAAGAAATTAATAAACATCAGCAACGGCCTCATGACCTGTTTTAGAAATGAGGATGCAGCAGCCATGCATATTTTTTTCCTTGATTGTTATGTGATTATATATAATGGTATACATTAGCTAATTTCTTCTCCTTTCTCCTTAATATTTGATATGTTTGTTGAGGTCAATTCTACAATTTAGTTTTCAGGTAACAGAATTTTCAAATGTGACTGTAACTGAATTTTAAGAGTAGTTAACCCTACCCAGAGATGGCTAGTGTGACATCTTCCAGAGACGAATTAAATGACTGGTGAGACTTTGCCTCTCCCCATTTCCGGGAGGTGAGAATGTCTTCATTTTATTAAGCATTTTGTTAGAGTTGTTTTTGCTGTTGTCTGGAAGTGCTAATGTGTAGAACGGTGTGTATGGATGCTGAAGAGCCAAAGGGTGGTCCGTGTCAAGGACTGAGTAATTGTTTCTCAGCTTCAAACCCACCCTTCTTTGCTCTGCTTTGTCTACAAACCACTTTTCAGCTTTGCCAACTGGCTCTATGCTGGGCTCTGCCAATAGGGGGCGCCAGAGAGAGACTGAAAGGCTAACAGAAGAGGGAAAGAACATTTTTTTTCCAGCACCAATACTGCCTTGTGAGAGGGCTGGGTAAAACGTAGAACACTTAGTTAAGTTCGAATTTTAGGTAAACAACGAATAATCCTTTTAGTATAAGTATGTCCCATGCAATATTAGCATATTTATTCTAAAAAATTATTTTTTATCTGAAATTCAAATTTAACTGGGTAGCCTGCTTTTTTTTTTTTTTTCCTTTGTGCTAACTCTGGCAATCCCAGAGCCTTAGTTTTTCTCCTTTACAGCAGAAGTTTATTCCAGAAGCAGCAGTTGAATCAGTCTGCAGTTTGTCCATCACTTACAAACTAACCAGCACTAGCCAGTCACCCCCTTGTCTTCCCTCTGTTCCCCCATCCTCGGGGTGGTGGCAGATCCTTAGTGTTTCTTTTTGACTTTTTAATTCTTTAATACCTAATTAACAATTCTTTATATCAAGTTTTCTCTGTTAAAGCAACTGGTGCAGACCCTGACTGATAGAGTTCGCAATAAACTAATCACAACAGGCAATGTGAAGCTCCATGATGGTCAAAGAAAAGGAAATTATATTGGGACCATTTATGGCTTGTTAGAGTTGCACAAATTAAATAAACTGATGTTATCTGAGGCTGGTGAGGGAGAGTGAAAAGTAAAATCTTCCAGCATACATTGCATTTTAAAGGGCTACAACTCTTTTTGGAAAATAATTTCCCAGTAGAGACCAAAGGCATAACATGTTTTTGCCCTTTGACCTCATGCTTCTACTTCTGGGAATCTATGCATGGAAAAATCCTAAATATATGTCCTAGGATATTTATGACAGTGTTATTTATACCACAGAATGACTGGAAATAACTTAAACATCTAACATGAGAATAATGGTTTCATGGATTGGCCAGTGTAGACACTCAGTAGACTATATTGCAGCCATTAAAGACGATCATCCTGAAGACGATGTAGCAGCATAGAAAATGCTATGAAGTTAGTCACTAACATCTGACATTGTTCTAAGTGCTTTAGATGTCTTAACCTAAAGACAGTTTTTAAATTCAATCCTCACTATTATCATCCTCATTTGACAGACTGGGAAAATGAGGCACAGAGCAGTTTGCTGAGTTGTCCATGATCATATAACAGAGAGAGAATTGAACGCAGGGAATCAGGCTCTAGGGTGTGTGCTTTTCACCCCTAAACTATGCTTCATTGAGTTAGCTGGAAGGAAGAGAACATTACAGCTCCTGATTCTAATTGTAACAAAATACACACACAGAATCTGGAAGGAACTACAAAACACCAATGATTGCAGGGCAGGACTATAGTAAATATTCTATATTTCTTGTTTCCAGTTGTCCAGGGGGTTTCTTTTTGTTGGCTCTGGGATGGGGGCTTTTCCTAGAACATGGGTTGGATTTGTGCCAGGCTTAGAGGCCATGTATTAGGCCAGGATAGAGGGCACAGCAAACAGTTGGAGCCTAATAAGTACATGTTCGTTATTGTGGACATCAGAAGGTAGGACCCGAGGCAGGAACACACTCCCCAGAAGATGGGGTATAAGCTCTCCTGTCTTCACACAGCCATGGCCTGGAGGGACTGCTGGCATGTCAGCAGGGTCCCAGAGCCAGGGCTGAGGACTACTGGGGCTTCCTAACACCCTTCTGAGGGTCTCCAAGGAGCTCAGTGTGTGTTACTCACAGCCTACCAGGTGCCAAGCACCATGCTGGGCGCTGCAGAAGAGAGAAATAAATCAAGCATGGTCCCTGCACTCAGGGATCTCCCAGTTTACCAAGGCTTGGGCACAAATCACTGTAACACAGTCGGTAGTCAGAGGTCATTGTCTGGAAATCGTTGCATTTCATTATTTATTGAGCAACAGTTATGTACCAGACTCCAGGTTACTGAGGATACCATTGGTAACAAAACAGACGAGGTTCATTCCTGCTTTGTAAAGAAAAAAGTTATTAAACGATTACGAGTCTGATGACAGTTATAAAGATGTTGTTCATGATACACTTTTTGTTAGTTTATGTGTGGAGAAGTATATTATCACTGTCAACCTACCTCTCCAGCTTCACATCTCTCTGTGAACTCTATGGACGAGCCACATTATTCATCGTTTCCTAACATGCCATGTACTTTTACCCTTCTGTGCTTTGTCCATGCTGTTCCCACCACCTATAGGACCGTCTGCAGTTCCTTCTTTATTCCTTA